AACAATTTCTAGAAAAATTAACAAATTGTTGAGATGGTGGAGATCTCTGAGAGAGTAATTGGTGCGACACTGTTCATTATGGGCCAATAGTTTCAGTAAAAAGCGAAACGTCATTTTCAGGCGTGTCGTCGCTGAACCACGAACAGACGTCTGGCCGGAGCCCAAACCAGCGCTTGAGTTCGATGAAAAATTCCTAAAGCTGCCATCTTCTGATGAGTATAAGCGGTGAGTTTTCCAAGAACGCAATCGCCATAGCTCTTCATGGGTGCAGTTTCACTTTTTATGAGGAATTGCGACTGAAAAGTCACGAAAAAGTGGGATCATGTGTTAGGGCGGGGCTAGGCTTCCTCGTGGGAAGGTCGTGTTTTGAACACTTGTACAGGACCACACTTGAAAATGTGACAAAAGCTTTTCGCTGGCATGCTCTATCGTCATATCGAAGCATTGCCGCTCTGCTGCAAGTCGGCTATTTGTAATCCTCTGGCGTCAACAATAAAAGATAGTGAAACTGGCAGTGACCAAACCCTTTGTGATGTGCGCCACGCATTCTACCTCCATACAAAATCATAGTGGCATTATGGACAGGGATTTGTTCCATACGATGACTTGCGATTGCGTCGTGAACACTATGGCTTTCTGTATATTTTTCGGAACTTTCTTGGACGTAGAAAGAATTTCCTTACTCTCCTCGATTCAACTCGATCTCTATTCTCGAGAGTTACAGATGCTGTGAAGTTGGAGGCCTGTAGTAAGCCATTGGTAAATGTTGTCCATTGATGATGAGAGCAAAGCGGATAGGAAATTACCTCCTAAGAGTTAGCTAAGAACTTTGGTTCCTGAAAACTCCCAAAATCTCTAGTCTCTCTAGTCCTATTGGATATGTGTTCGACTTTAGCGTCTTTTTGTCGCTTACTTCACAAACTCCCAGTCAAGGTGGTGTAGAGTTCCGGCTCTAGTTCACGGTCATGAGGGCAAACTTTGGGTAGATTTTGCCCGGGTGGCTGGGCCTTCTATTCATCCGCAGTAAGTGCATCACCAGGCTTTTGCAGGAGGATAGAGTCACAAACTTGTACATCGGCTTTCCCGCAGGCCTCTGTATAGGCCTAGTTGCACTTCAGTGTCATAACGCTTCTATCTAGAAAGGGAATTTGTAGTTCACTTCGAAGAGGGATTAAGCCATATGTTCTGTCGTTCATCCTTTGCGCCTCATAAG